TTTTTTTTTTTTTTTTTTTCCTTGAAGAGAGAGGCGGATTCGAGATTTAAACTTTGAGGGTTCAACATTCAAGATTTTAGTATTGAACCCAATGCATTTTAAATTTATGGGTTCATATCTACTATTTATTGCAATTATAGTCGATTTTTACATATACATTTATGCTCTGTGTCGAAAGTTATGGGTTCCATTGAACCCGCTATCATTGTTTTGGATCCGCCCCTGCTTGAAGAATATACTGAATGTAATGCAATGAGATAAATATTGAACTTACTAACCTCATGTCGACGAGTTTCATCTTTCAGGAAATCAAAGAGTAGGTTGCGAGAAACTGGCAACCAAATGGATGAAACAGCACAGAGGATCACGCCTTGGGGCTCACCAGTATCTGTCAAGTTCTTCCTAGATGCCACCCTAATATCCTCTTGGCCAGTTTTGCTAGGAATCTTGTTCCATGTATTATAACTAGAAGCTCCAAGCATACGGTAGAAACTCCATGTCATTCTTTGTGCCAATGTTAGTATACTTTTTCTACCAGCAAGTGTGGCAACACCTGTTTCAATTCATTTACACAGTTTAATTTTCGAACCAATTTGGAATAAGTTAATGTAAGACATGGAGTTTAGTTTACCAGTTGTATCCTTGGTAGGAATGTTGGTGGCCATGGAGAAGAGGAGGCGCTCGCATTGCTGCTGCAGTGTAGCTATCCAACGCCTTGCCCCAAAAGCTTGGCCGCTGTTGACAATTACACGGTACAGAGAATGAACTGTGCTTTTTTGGCACTCCAGATGTTCCACCCAAGTTACCTAAACATGAGAGCAATTAGATTTAGAGTTTAACTTATACTATATGCTAAAAAATGTAAAAGATAACTATATGTAATCTTCTTAATAAGTGAAATTAGTAACTCAGAGAAATAATTCAAGTCACATGCTACAACAGATTAATATACAATGATTGCTGGAGTTGAGTGTGATCCATACTAAACTCCAATAATGATAGTGTAAAAATTCTTTGCACTACAAATGTGTATTATAAGCTAAATCCTTATATTTATACATAGCGCATCCCAACTCTTGCTGTGTCTTTTTTTCTTCTTGCTTTTGTTTTTCTTCCGTTTCGGTTTTTGGTCTATTTCTTTTAAAATTCTAGGTTCGTCCAATTATTTGTCAATCATAAAACCATATTAAAAATTCCCCACTTTCTTTTTCCTGTGGATTACCTGTGCTTTTAAGATTTTTCCAGAATTTAGCATGCCCGACACCAGATACTAAAGTTTTTAAAGGTGTTAAGGGGTCGGGCCGTCCGGGCTAGAGGAAAAGGGAACCGGCCGGTTTCGGTACCGGTTACAATTTACCGGGTTTATCGGTTCCAGGCTTCTCCGGTGCTAAATTGAACCGGAATAGTTCCGAGCCTAATGGGCCGGGCCGGACTAGTTTTATTTAATTTTTTTTTGTATTTTGTATAACAATCGTAATTTATATTAAGATAAAGTAAAAAATATAAAACACTAAAAACTAAAGCATAAAAAGAATGTTTGAATAAATTTCAAAGGCTTTAAAAGCCTTATATTTGAAATTTTGAATAAAAAGTTAAAAACTTCAAAGGCTTTAAAACTTAAAAGCCTTATATTTGAAAAATTCATTAAGAATTTAAAATTGAAAAAAAATATAACTTAAACTGGAGTGTTGAAATTTGAATTTAAAAATTTAAAAATTGAAATGAAGTGGCTACATAAAATTATTTAATAAGACCAATATGTAAGGATCAAACTTCAAAGGCTTTCATTTCATATTTTCATTGCATAATAATATTTCAAATTAACTTGTCTAATAAACTAATACATTAAGCTTAAATAAGTCTAATAAATTCAAAATAACACAAATTGTCTCAAATCAACTTAAATACGAATTTCTGGAGGACGCTCAAGACAACTCTTGATATGTCTCCTTAAACAGCCTGTGCCCTCCCACTTTCGACTAACATTTAAGACCCGACCACAGTTCTTGCACTCTACTTTGCGAACGTCTTCATTTTCTTCTACCACCTCAAAGTGTTTCCAAACATATGAGCGCACTCTAGAAGCACGAGGCATGATTTAACTTGAATTGAGAATTTGGGTTTGAGAATTGAGAGATGAGTGAAGAAATGAAGAAGAGGCGAGGGCCTATTTATAATTTTTCAAAGGCCTAAATTAATAAATAATAAAAGTGTTGTTTTTGAAAAAAATACCTAAAAAGGACTATTCTTGCAAATTAATCGTTGGGCAACAGTCAAAATGGCAGCTGACCGTTGCCAACAGTCAAGACTATAAATTAAAAAAAATGAACTAGCCGTTGAACCGGTCCGGTTAACCAGTTCACTATTGACAAGACCTTACCGAGTTGGACTGGTCCGGTTACCCGGTATTGAAATTTTCCGCGGCACAGGCTGGTTCCCGTCCCAACCCAGCCCTGCCCGGTCCCCTACCACCGGGCTGGTGCGGTTCGGTCTAAAATCGATCAGGGCCGGTCCCGAACCGGCCATCCCGGCCGTTTGACACACTTAAAAATTTTACCTGGATGTTCAGCCAAATATGGTAATATGACCTTAGCAATATACTACATAAAAAAATGTGGAGTACTTTTTAGTGCGGAAGGAATTACAGGAGAGTACATGGACAGACCATTTCAAGCTAGTTGTGTAGTGATAAGAAAGAAAAGAAAAAAGAAACAGAAAATTAATTAGGGTTAGAAAACATAGGTACTTACCTTGCAGTGGGCATTGGATTGTTCTTGGAGAAAGCAGCCGGAGGGTAATTTTCTGCATTTCACGAGAGAAGCGTCAATGTTGTCTTCAACTTTGTCCACAGAAACGTCCACAATTGCCCACTGACCTACGCTCAATTGTNGGGGGTAATTATAGTAGTGTACATGTTTACGATCTTCTGTTTTTTATAAAACAAACTATTTATCCCCATCTTTCTTTTGAAACCTTTCCTCTTTGAAGTAAAACTCATACTCATCAAAACAAGATAAAAAAGAAAGAACAATATGTATGAAGCTACTTACTAGCTGAACTGCACCATCCCAGCAGTTAGCACCTTCACCATTGCAGATTACGTCCACTGTTGCTGCCTTTGAGATCATCGATGGGAACATTTCTTTCCATTGATTCTTCAGGAATATATTTGCAAAGAATTTAACATCAATAAGATAGCTTGTGTACATAACCAGAGTTTAATTTGGACTCAAGGTTTACGCATTTTGCAAAGTTTTTTTTTTCTATTTAATTACTTTGTACATTATTACTTATGTCATTTTAAAAAAACTAGGATCAGTATATACTATGCAACCGTCCATAATAAGTGGATAGTGAACCCTAAAAATAATGCAGCTTACCTATTTAAACAGGTTAAAATATATAAATAGTAAATTCTTTATACTATCAGTACCTATAATTAAGTTATATACTTATTTTTTTCTGGGCAAATCCTAAAAGAAAATGTCTAAACATCATGATGTTGTAATACTTCCTCAAGAAATGCTCTCCATTGTTCATAGTATCTGTCTTTAAGGTTTTTGCACGATCTTTAAGAGAGATATCTAGTAGCCTTAATTTTAAAAGTATTTGTCAAATTGAAACTACCTTTATCTCTCTTAAACATTTCACTTAATTGATACTCCACTAATTAGAGAATTAATTACTGTAATAGATGATTCTTCGTTTTTCTAAAGCATCAAATATTTTGAAACAAATTCAGTATAAAAAGAATGGAAAATAATATGGACCAGATATACTACACCTCCCCCCCCCAAATTTTTCTTGGACTGTAATTTTTTGATATGCCTTTTAAATATTTTGAATCATTAATTGCCGTGACTTATAGTATGTTTTTACTTAGTTTCCAAATGTGTAAATTTTATTTTGAAAAACTGAAAAATTTTACGTCCAAATGCATGACCTAAATTATAAAGTTTGAATCTCGAAAAGCGAAAAGTGTTATTGGGATAAAAAGAGTAGTATTATTATTTATTACTAGGTGGATGAAATAACTGAGGTGAGAATAGTTGAACGATCTTACCACGTCCATGAAAGTCTGAACAAGTCGAGGGAGTTCCATAAATACAATTCCCGTCTCTCTGGAGGCTTCAATACATCTCTTATTAGGCCGTCCATCTCTGGAATTTTCAGTCGGAAACTCCTTCATGTATTCGTCATAATTAAGTATTTCTCGTCCAGTTTCAAAGCTTCTGATCCACAGTGGTTCTCCACTAGTAGCCATCTTTTTAACTTCTTCCATTGCTTGATTAACTACATGCATTATCCTTGACTTTTCAAGCCCAAAAATGCCCGTGTAATAATCTAAAGCGCTTCTATTTTCTTCTTCATTTCCTCCTGAACATGACGAGGAGCTATTATTATTCGGTGATGTCCCTATTGGGTATTTTCCCAATGCTGCCCTAAGCTTTTCAACCTGCATTCTCCAAAATTAGAAGCGCATGTTATATATGTACGAAGGGAGGGTATGTATCGTATAATTAATGGTTCAACTCAATCCAGCGTTTTATATATATATATAGAGAGAGATTGTTACAAAAATCAATATATAATTTATATATATCGGCTAGAAAAATTAAACAGAGAATCTGACCGGCTATTTGTGTAACAATCCCTATATATATATATATATATATGTGAAAATTACTAGAATCATAGCAAATGATTGATCAGGTCTTTGGAGAAATATTTGGCTGAAATTGAAAGAAAAAAGGTATTTAAAATTGAATTTGAAAAAAACACATTTGAAAGTTGGAGTTGTATTTGAGATGAATTAGCTTGGAAAAAGAGTTACCTAAAAACCATTACTATTTTCAAACCAGTTTTTAAACTTCAAATTCTCTATTCCAAGTTGAATTTTAAATAATGGACCAAATTGTAAAACAAACATTTGATTTGCAAATAATATTTCAAGTTGAAGATAAAATGATAAAGATAATTTTTATGCTCAATTGGGGCCAAATTTGAAATCATATACAATGAATTTAGCGAAATTCATCAAATTTTAATTTTGAATCCGGCTCTATTATATATATATATTGGGACACATCGATCAAAGTAATATATGCTTACTCTTCGAAGATAACGATTTGTGTTCAAATTACCTCAGCTCTAAGTCTGGCATTTTCGATTCTTAATTGATGTTCTTCAGCGGGGAGAGTAGGAGCATCATTGCTAGAGCAAGCAAGCCCGCAATTAGGACAAGAAGGATTCTTCAACGTCTTCCTTAATCCCTTATTTTCTTCACGAAGTTTTTCTATTTCAGCTTTTAACAAAGAATTTTCATGGCGTTCCTGTATTGCCTGCAAAATTTTCCACGTCACAATTTACACCAATTAATAACGAGACCAGACAAGACTTGACTTAGGACAAAAATATACTCAGTCCCTGGGGTTACGTACGGCGGTCTGTGACATTTATAATCATATCCAAGAAAGATTCATTGCTCTTTATATGTCCTCACTATTCAAGAATAGATTTTTAATAAAGTTCTACTCTATAATAAATATAATTACCTTAATTTGAGTTCGCCGATTTTGAAACCAGAACTTAACTTGCCTTGGATGAAGACCTAATTGCTTACTGAGTTGCTGCCTTTGCTTCTCATCTGGATGCGGTGACTCTTTGAATAATCTGTCAAATAAAATGCATTTTTCATAAGTATTGAAGAAAGTAGAAAAGGAGACCCGCTCGCTTATGCATATACGTTCAAAAACTTAAGATTTACAGTTCTTGAACCATGTTACATGAGCTGCTGGTATTAGCTTTTTAATTACTCAAAATTAGATTAATAGTCGAAATAAAATTTAATGAATGATCAGCTGTCGGTTGACATCAGTTGTGACTCAATAAATGAAAGAAAAGTAGATTAAGAAGAATAAAACACAAGAATTAATTGACAAAACTAGCTAATTGCATGCTTTAGGGGGTTTATACAAATAATTTTGATGGAATGTATATACAGTATGTGTTAGGGAATTAATGACCTAAGATATATATGCATGGTAGAAATTACTGTCAGGGTTATGAGTTTTATCATTGAAGATTCTTCTGTTGTCAATTCAAAGTAAAACGCTTTAGCAAAAAGACAAGTTTAAAAGAAAAACACAAATGGAAAAGTAATTTTTATCTTAAAATCGGATACTCATTTATTATAGTGAGAAGAGTTATATGAACTTACGCCTCCATTTCTCTAATTTGTTCAGCAGTGTGTCTGTGATATTTCTTTCTTTTCTTCTTCTTACTGTTGTTGTTAGGATCTTCTTCATCTTCGTTCCAAGTTATATCGTCATGCTCAAAATCATCATCAGAACCGCGTGATCTCAGTGGTCCAGAAGTCTCGCTGCTAATCTCGACCGTTGATTCTTCTCTCGGCCGTCCTCTACTTCCACTTCCATCCTCAACCTCCTCCGTCTCCCCGTTTCCGCCATCTCGGAAGATTCCAGCCTTCAAAAAACTCAAAACAAAAATTAGAAGCGATAAAACAAAAGCAGAATTAACACATACAGAAAAAAGGAAAAGGAAAAGGAAAAGGAAAAGGGCGATTTTACGAAAGCATAAAATTAATTAATTACTCACGAGGCTGAGCGAGAGAGCAGGAGAGGGAAAGAAATCTTTGGTTTCATGAGGAGGAGGATGGTTATTCGACATGTCCACAACGCCCATGGCAGTAGTGTTTTTGGTGTGTTGAGGAATTGGATTATGGTGAAAATAGATTGAGAGACATAAATATAAACTGAATGTTGATTTTTCTTTTTACTCTGTGCGTTTTTGAGTGTACGAATAAGACTGTTTATTGGAGGAGAGAGAGAGAGAAGAAAAAAAATAGTGGGGTATAGATGAATTAAAGGATATAAAACAAACAAATGAAAGACCTGAGGGGGTGGGGGGCTGGTAGGAGTTGACTGTTAGATACGGTGGAGGGTCAGTGATTTTGGTCTTCAACTAACTTTTTATTACTCCACACTTAATGAACTATTACTCCTAAGCTTCAACTGCATGTTTATCTACTAGTAGTACTAGTTAATTGAACCGTGCCTTCACTTTTTTTTGTTCTCGCCGCCTGATGTCAGGTATTCGTTTTGGAGGCTCGATTAAATTTGGATTCGATTCGAAAAGTTCATCTCGGAGAAAGTGTTCTCTAACAAAGATAACTTTAGACCCAAAGTTCAAAGCTGAAACCTCTAATTAAAGATGAAAAAACACTTACATATCCATTATAATCCTCACTGATATATTGTGTCTTCACTCTTCACGCCGAAATGAGTAACATAATGTACAAGATTGTTCGTCATTATAATGAATGGTAAAAGTTATCTGTGTTTATACATCAAATTAATGGATGCAAAGATAAATATCTTTCATACAAGCATCTGTCACTTAAAATGGTTATCTATTCTCAGTTTAATTTAAATATTACAATTAAATTATTTAATTTGATATAAACATTAAATACATCTAGTTTAAACTTGATAAATAGCCTAAATGATAGTTGAGTGTAACTATTACTCCGTTCCTCCATCTCATTTTACATGAATATGTTTGACTAATAATGAAGTTTAAAATTTATTTGAATTTTAATTTGTTATTTTAAACATACAGAGATAATTTATTGGCTATAAAATCAATAAAAATTATGTCATAGATTAAAAAGCAAATTGTATCATATGAAATGGGATGGAGCGAGTATTGTTTAGATACCCTTGCATCATCTTAAGTCTTATTTCTTGCCATAATTGTATGCTGGCCTCCATTTTATCTTGTGTTTGTTATAAACCTGTGTTCGTAAATAATTTCTGCAAAAAAAAAAAAAAAAAAAA